ATATATATATATATATATATATATATATATATATATATATGAAAACATACTGTGTCTAGAAAACCGCCATTTACTACAGAGTATTACACAGTTGTTATTTCAATTTACTAAATAAGAATTAATTGACTGAAGACCTTATAACTAATTTCGACTCATTTGTTACAGTCGAGAAGAACATAGCAACTTCACTGCCACCCGCTCGCTCTGTACTCGAAGAGCAGTGGAGTGATCACACATTTTATTTTTCTCCTCTCCTGATAGGGATGCGATGCAGGCCCTGCTCCTGCGAAAGACACTTTCGTTACAAAAAGAAATCCAGGTTGACGAAGCGTAGGCCAAAGGGTGGTGGGCTGGTGGGGACGGCGGGCACGGCCGCGAAGGCGCAGGCGAGGGAGCGCCAGGGCGGCGGAGCGGCGGCCAGGCCGCGGGCGCGAGGCGATAAGGCAGGCGCGGGCGGGCGACGCCTGCGCGAAGGCGCAGCCGAGGTCACGTCGGGGTGACACGGCGGCCGAGCCGTGGGCGAGCGTGCGGGGTCTGCCGCGAGCAGGCAAGGCTCAGCCGAGAGCGCGTCGGGGTTTGGGATGGCAAATTTTACCAAAACATCCATGTTTCAATACATCAAAAGGTTTCCGATGTCGATGAAAACATCGGCGAAAACATCATTTCATATATCTATGATTTAAATATAATAAAACAGTTCTCAATAAGATTATATTTTTAATTACAGTACTTAAATGAAATACCGATATATTTTATTATCGTGATTGTTTAATACTTGTTATGCTACCCTCTGCAAAAATTTTAATAGAAGAAAAACTTTCTCGCGAGTGTGAGAAATTTGATTTATTTGTCCGACACAATGTTAATACTTGAAGATGCGGCGGGTTGCGTAGAGCTTCTGTTGAGGGGTTCTTGAGTAAGGATAAACGTATAAAACCATAAGCAACAACGCCCCTATTTTGTTTATATGTGAGACAGACATACACATATTTCCAATGAACTATGCCTATATTTTTCTCGCAAGTGCAATCAATAAGTTGATACAGTTTTTTTGCATTCGAATGAACGGCAAGGCAGAGCATAAAATACGATCAAACATTGATTTTTATATATTATATGTGTATATATAATATATATATATATATATATATATATATATATATATATGTGTATATAATCTATGTATGAATATGTGTAATAAGTAATGTTGAAGTTTCTTAGGTTGGACATTACATTACGCCACCATAATTACGTATATAATTTGTAATTATTTCCCATACCGCACATAGAGAGACGAGCTAAAAAATAGATTTGTGATGAAGTACTTGTTTCTGTCAATTCCCATGGAAAAATGAGTAACAAAAACTGAGTACAAATAACGTGAGGAAGTTTACATATGCTTGTAACGCTAACAAATAAAAAATAAAATTCCATTGGTTTCCCATATTTTGAAGATACGCTGTCACTACTGTTCTGCGAAAATCACAGTAACTACAATTTCCTCCAATTCCTTTTATCAACCAAGCATTTTGACAGTAAGCATGCAATCCAAAAGCAAATAACAAAATTGGGTTCCCTTGGAACCCCTGCTCTTAAAGATCCCACATTTTTGTCAAATCGATCGACTCCGCCCATATATCTTTTGTACA